GAAAAGGGGTTGATTAAGTTTTCCAGTGATTACAAGTTTTTGATAGATAGAGATTTTGCCTGTCTCCTGGTAGAGTGAATCATCTTTCTGGATACAGGCAAATCGAGTGAAAAATATCAAACAACCTGGCATGGGACGATGGAACGATCCTGACTGGTTCTATAAACTGATCGACCGAAAAGTCACTGCCACGGATGTGCGCGAGAGAAGATTGATGCAACTGTCAGCAGCGGGGAACCTGGATGGATCGTTATCGTTTGTGTACTTGATTTATGATGTAGATAGAGAAGGGGAAAAAAGCGTTCATCTACTCTGTTTCTAAGGCTTCGTGACAGGAACGGAATTTTTTACTAATAATTTTGAAAGAAAGCGCGCTCTGAGTCATTAGCTACGCTGTTCCTATGAAATTCTGCTCTGTCCTTCCTCTTCAACTGGTAGAACGCGGTTAAAACGATGCACCGTTCTTCCAAAGTCATGATTGATTAAGGCTAACTTCGTCTTCAATTTAACGAACTTTGAATGAAGTTAACTCTCTCCTTTTTCTTTTTTTCACTATCTATTATATAACGAACAGTTTATTCTACCAGTTAAAAGTTAGAGGAGTAATTCCAGCAAACTTTATATATTAAATTTGTTTGAGAACAGAGCAACTTTTACATTCTATACATTTTATTTGTATAACTTAACATCCTCAAAGGATCATATACACCACAAAGTGGCTTTTAATCACTTTTCCAATCAAGTTTCCCCTGTTTAATACAGATCCCATCGAACTTATGAATTAGGCAAAGAGTGTCCATCATCGTCCAGGTGTATGTCCTTTCATAAATCATATGTAAAATGTTTTAATGACTGGTATTCAATGATCATCCTTGAGAGCCGCGCAGGCAAAGGGCTGACGTAGGAAACTGCAATAGAAACGCGTCTATTTTTATGGCTGATTATATATACGAAAAACTAAATAATGGCGCAGGTCCAGCGGCAGGGGTCTCCAACAATAAAGCGTGATCTTGCCACAAGAATATAGCCAACGATCATGCCAAAGAGCGAGCGCATGTCTGGCGAGAGAGAGAATGAGCTAAGAGTGAGAGAGATAGGGAGGGAGAGAAAGAGAGAGAGAGAAAGAGCTTCTTCCAAATCATATCGTGTACGTGTACCTTGTTCCCATGCGAGTCGAAATGACCGCGTCCAAGTGGCAGGACTTGCAACAAGTACAATCGAGCGAGTGAAATAACGAGATTAACGTCGTACATTATTTTGCTACGAGTCACGTTCGTCTCCTCTAGCGGGGCTATATATAGGGTTTTATTGTATATTGGGATGTCTGTGAGTGGAAGTGGGAACTCGATTACACCTATCATTCAGTACTGATTGCAAAGTAAAAGTCAAATTTTCTCCTGTTCCATAACTGTTGAGATAAACGTTGATCGATCCCCTGGAGGGAGTTTGAAATGAAAATCATAAGTTTTTCAAATAAAATCTGGAGCTTAAGTCTTCACCTTTGATGAATTATATTTAGATTGATTTAAATACCCTGCAAAGCCATATAAAATCAATTTTTATACGCGAAAGCTTTGTAATAATAAATACCTAGGAAATTAACTGTGAAAAGGAGAAATTGAAATTTTTCGAATTCCCATAGCTTCTCACGATTCTCAAGAGCAAGAAGCAAACAGAGAACAGTGGACAGAGATTTTAGGTAGATATACGTAGGAGGGAGATAACGTAACAACGGACCTATCATAAAAGACAGTGTGTGCGCTTACTAACTCACCCGGGATAGCTTGCCGGTAAGCGAAAGTAAGCTATCCCGACTTGTAATGGCTAGCTTAATTTTATTTAAGTAAAACTAACTCTCGATGATATCGAAAAAAAAAAAAAAATAAAAGATACGAGATGTAAACGAGGAAGGAAACTCTAAAAGACAGTCCCAATTTTAGCGGCACAGAGAGAAAGAAAGACATCGGTTTGTAAATCGAGCGAGCGCTTTTTGTATGTACATATATATATTGTATATTGTATACGCACATTGTACCGTAATCCGAGCGACATTATCATTGTACCGTAGTCAGCGGAACCTTAGAGCTAGAGAATTTTTTCTTGTATAATGAACGAATAAATGCAAAGTATCGTTCGGTATAAAGGTCGCGGCAATCTTCCCTTATTTCGATTTTCGTCTCGTTCAATCATTCCGCCCTCTGATACTTTGTAAATTATAATTCCCCGCTGCATTAGGTTTTCATTAAAGAACAAATCTTTTTAAATTACACGCTTTATCTCCTCTAGCATTAAATCGCATAGAAAATGAAATTTCGAAATTTCCCTATAACATTACACGTCTATCCACATACAAATACAGAGTACTTTTCTCTATCTATTTTATTTACCGAACCGTCAATACTTAACCAATAGTCCGGTAGAATTACAGAAGAAATTCGACTACACCGCGCTTTGGTTCACATTATGTACACTGCAAGTAAATACAAAATCATAAACGTAAATTTGTTTATGTCCCGTTCGCTTATTCGATGATAGTAAATGCGGAAACTAGAACTTTTCTAATCTCTACCTCTTTATTTTCAATTGGACACAGCTTGTTTTCGCTCTCTAATGCGCGCTTGTATTTCAGGCCTAAAATGCCTGATCAATCCTTGTACCGGCCACGCTGCACCATCCGCTAAAGCACAAATAGTGTGCAGTTCAATTTGTTTAGTCAGCTCCCATAGCATGTCTATCTCGTGCTCTTCTGCTTTACCCTCCACGAACCTGAACAGACACGTTACTTTTAGCTAGAACAACTCCTAGAGATAGAAAGAATTATATTCGTATACCTCTTCATGATTTTGAACATCCAGCTAATTCCTTCGCGGCACGGAGTACACTGACCACACGATTCGTGTTTGTAGAAACTGATGAGGCGTGTGATAGCCTTAATAATATCTGTTTGCTTATTCATTACGATCACAGCTGCAGTACCAAAGGAGCTCTGCACTCTGACGAGATCGTCAAAGTCCAGCAATACTGTATCACACACGCTGTAAGTTGTTTTAAATGAGTACATATTTTGAAACGTTTCTACCAAAAATTGTATACCTTTTCGGAATAACAGGAGTGGAGGATCCACCGGGTATCACACCCAACAGATTATCCCATCCACCGATTACTCCTCCAGCATGCCTTTCGATAAGTTCTTTCAAGGGAATGGACATTTCCTCTTCCACTGTGCAAGGATTGTTCACGTGCCCGGAGATGTTAAACAATTTCGTTCCATGATTACGTGGGCGACCGAATGACGCAAACCATGTTCCTCCCCGTCGACAAATCGTCTGTATAGGAAGTTTATATTTTAAGGCTGAAATTATCTCTCTATATATATTTCTTTCACAATGGTATTAAATGTGCCAAATACGTACAGGAGATACAGCAACTGTTTCAACATTGGTAACAGTTGTAGGGCATCCAAATAATCCAACATCAGCTGGGAAAGGTGGTTTCAACCTTGGTTTCCCTTGTTTCCCTTCAATAGACTCGATTAGGGCTGTCTCTTCTCCACAAATATATGCTCCAGCACCTCTTTGTACAAATATATCGAAATCATAGCCAGAACCACATGCATTCTTTCCGATAAGGCCAGCTTGGTAAGCTTCCGCAATTGCAACTTGCATATTCGATGCCTCGTTGTAGAATTCGCCGCGAATGTAGATGTAAGCCGCGCAGGCACCCATGGCACGGCCAGCGATAAGGCAACCCTCTACCAGCTTGTGTGGATCGTGACGTAAGATCTCACGATCCTTGCAAGTACCAGGCTCTCCTTCATCTCCGTTTACTACTAAATATTTGGGCCTTCCATCCGATGGCTTATTCATAAAAGACCATTTCATACCAGCGGGGAAACCTGCACCTCCGCGACCTCTTAAACCAGAGACTTTAATTTCATTTATGATCCAGTCTGCACCCTTGTCTAGGATCTCCTTGGTTTTGTACCAATCTCCTCTTTGTAAAGCGCCCTTCAACCTCCAGTCGTGTCTTCCGTATAAATTCGTGAAGATACGGTCCTGGTCAGATATGGGACTACCTTTTTTCTACAGGAAAAAATGAAACAATGTAACTGACACGAAATTCGTGTTACAATATTATATAAGGAATGGAATGATGGTACCTTTCCCTCAGGTGCGGCATCGGCAAACGTTCTTTGCGGCTGGCTGCTAAACGTCACTCCAAGAAGACCTTAAAATCAATCGGATCCCTTTAATTACATAACCTTGTCTTGCTAACGATACAAAATACCGAAATTCAAAAACAATGAAATGTCGTATCTGGTCTGAAATGTTTCGAATACTCTTCATACGGTAATGAAACAAAGCAACTTCACGACTTACCTAATTGTCTCCTTGGAACCTGAAAACAACGTACTACGGCACCAGCCATTTTGCCATTTGCAGCACGGCAGTACGATAGTAGCGCTCTGTGGGTGACGGAACATTCACGAAACCATTGCTCATAATTAGGATAATTATCCCTACCACGGGAGTTTCCAACTCCAGCGTATGTATACTTATATGACCGTGGTATCAACAAATGTGAGGTATTCGTGGATGTCAGAAGCTTATAAAAACGGTGAAATATATGTTATCATTATAATATTGTGTTAGAAGTGATTAACAAAGTAGTACTCAGTAAACGGTAATATATAGCAAGTTTAACCTCTAAATATAAAACATCTATCAATTATATTGACGATTCTTATTTAGTCTAATTTATTGAAAAACATTTGGATGTTGTAATTAAATGGTATTTATTGAAATATGTTTTTATTTTAAATCAATGATATATTTCGTTTCTTTCGCTCGTAATTAATTATTTTGTGTTTAAGGTTATATCGCTGAAATTTTGTATATATTTTCTTATGTTTCGGTGTTTTCAATACCGTGCTATTAATTCAACATTATTCGTAAAAGGTGAATTCATGAAGATTGTGTTGTAAATCGTAGTAAATAAACATGACGACCGCAGTAAAAACATTGTGGAAACAAGCGTTAAATACATTTGATGAACGAAGTAACGTTGGGTTTAAGCTTTGTCAACAAAATTTTGACAAATTGCGATATTTGATGAATAAAATTACAGCCGAAGATGTAAATTTGAATCAGCAAATTCTAGATTTCATTCAAGTACAACATGCACCGATGTGGGTTATTGACATATTTGAGAATAAGGACTTTGCTATATCAATTTTTATATTGAAACACGGATTTACAATGCCAATACATGACCACCCTGGAATGTATGGCTTTTTAAAGGTGTGTGAAATTTGTATTTTCTTGTTAACATAAATATTTAATATTTTATGTTCATATATATTATTATTATTTCATTTTATTTTTGAAACATAGGTAATTAGTGGGAAAGTTCAAGTGAATAATTATACTTTGAAAGCAAATGAAGATCATGCAATTAAACTGAATAAAGAAGTAATGGCATTTAGACATAAACTGATATCTTTGCACAGTAATTCTCCTGCTTGTACTCTTACACCAAGAGAAAGAAACTTACATGAAATTACATGTATTGAAGGGCCAGCTGCATTTTTAGATATACTTAGTCCACCTTATGATGTAGATGATTCAGGTAAGGGACCAAGACCGTGTACATTTTTCAAAACTGTTGGTAGTTCTAAGTTATGTACAGATTTATCAGATATAATTGAAGAAGTTAAGTTATTGGTTATTGAGGGTCCACCAGATTTCTATTCTGGAAGTCTTAAATATACAGGTCCACCGTTAATGTGACCTGAAGTATTAAGATATATTTAGATCTTGTGTTCTGTTTGTTAAATAATTCTGCATTTTGTGTATTAAGTTGCACTTATAATTGTATCATAAACTTATAAATGTTAAAATGACAATTTTAATTAATTGGGCAATATTTATATTTCTTTTTGCATTTTTCCGCATATGATCATAAGATGGAATAAGAAAACAATTTCCTTTATAAAAATAAAGTAAAAATGTAGGATAAGATTTTTTTTCGATTGTCAAGGAATATTAGCTTGAAAGTTATTCGGGAATACACTTGTTAAATTCTTAAGTAATCTCATATCTTAGTAATTACATGAATATAGATTGATAACAATGTAACTGTGTATCTTACGATCCAAATTCTTAAGTGGTGTTATAGCCTATGTTTATTCATTTTTCAATAATTTTGGTACATATAAGTTTTTTAATATAAATTTATAAGTAACAATTAAGTGTATGCAAACCTGAAAAAATTTTAAACTAAATTTTTTCGAAATAAAATGTCACGTGAAAATATTCTATATTTTCGAATTATTTTTCTTGGTTCCATGTAATGTGCAAGAAATCGTATTAAACATATTATTTTGACAGTATACAAGTAAGGATGTGAAGAATGAATGTATCATATGTAACACATAATAAGATACACATGACAATTATTGGATAAAAACAAAATTTTTATTCATATAAAACACGTGATAATTATATCACATAATACGTAAAACATACAAACGATATCTCAATAAAGTTATGTTCTACTTTCTGGTATATGAATCACCAGTTTTCAATTGTTTGTGCATTTCTTACAGGTTATAAAAATATACTGTACTATAACAATATAGTTTACATTACACAACAATAATCAATATTAATATTCCTTTAGTACCTCTGGTTTTATACTTTAATTTTGTTAAATGAATGTTATAATATAATAATTTAAAATAGGAAATATTATCTTTTTTTTTTTTAATTAAAAACAGAAACGACTGGTATGTACAATGTAATAAAATTAAGAAATTAACATATTACATAAAGAAATAAGTACTTACGTAAATTAATTGTAAATCAGAATGTTATTTATCTAGGTATATAAGAAAAACACGAAGTATCGATTTGAATTGATATTTACTAATTTCTTATATCTACAGCAAATTAAGGCATTTACATAAAATAAAGTTTTGTTCCAAAATTTTTTTACTAAATATATTAATATGTTTAATTCAAGACTTATCTATGACAGAAATAAATTTTTGAAAATACCGTCCCCTTTTCCAAGCAGTCAAAATATGAATAACTTTTACCGAAGATACTGTTGCTTATTTCTCAATGTACAGGAAATTTGTAATTTTAGTATAATAAATAGTATCGCTTCATTATGTAATTATTAAATTTGAAACAGACGAAATTGAATTATGGTAAGGAAATATTACCATTACTCAATTTTTAGTTATTAAGTAAGAAGGTGAATGGACATTATTGTTATTCCATTGAATAAAATATTCCACACCTGACACAATATTTTACCGATTGAATTTATGTATATAATCACATTTTCCATACATATATATGGAGAACAACGTACGTATCCGTTAAACCTGATTACAGTACCCATACATTTATATTGCTAAAAGTAGATGGTATATTGGAAATCCATATTTACGATAAAAGTATTCTAAAAAGTTTAATTATTCTACATCTGAAACGATATACTGTCCTTTGATAATATATTCTTGAAAGGTAGTTTACATGCATTTAACTTGTCTGAGTTTCAGAATTTTGCTGTCTTCTATACAGTGCGACGTTACTCTCCGTATAATCCATTATCCGACGCTGACACTGTCTTACATATTGCTGTTGTTTATGATAAATTTTGAATGCACCTTTTATTGTTATAAATGCTATACCTCCCTACAAAATTATATACAGAATATTTAGTGATGTACATAATGATTAGCTTATTGTCAAATGTATTTTATACGTACAAGTAACGTCCTTTGAAAATTGGAGTGTATACTTTCAAAAAATATTTTTCCACATATGCTGGCAATACTCGGCAATAAAAGTGCACCACAAAGAATGCGCGTCGCTGATACTGGATCACTCATAGGTGGCACTTCCTCAGATTGTACTCTGTCATCACTTGAATAACTATAGCGATAGATACATATAATTGCAAAATAAATGATGTATTTATTTCAAAGTTATAAATCTACTTTTGCACATACCTACTGGGTAAAAAATGCCTTAAAATAGGAACTTTACACGCGTGTCTCCTCAGAAGGTTAAGTGCCTGATCTTCCCATCTTAACATTTTACCCAAAACTAATAATATTGGAATAGTTGGCAAACCAACTAATAACACCAAAGGATCAGCTTGCTCCATCATAGCTAGACCATCTTTAAGGCCAACTACTTGCATAACAGTGACAGCTCCATATGTTACAGCAGTCCAATATATAGATGCAGCAACTATGCTAGCCGCGATAAAAGGGCAGATACGAAAAATTATTCCATCAATTGTATCCAGTACTATAACTAACGGACCTGAAATAATTATATAAATTATGTACACTGCTAGTAATAGTGATAGTATGATTCGATTTAAAATTTATGTAAATATTAAAAGAACTAACCCATATTTGGATATACAATAATATACTCCGTATTACATTGCGGACATGCTACATGTGCACCCGCTCGTCCTTTTTGTTTCTCGTCGACCCATCTTTGTATACATCCTTGATGAACCCATTTAGTTGTACCGCGACAATGACATGGTTTTACCCATGATGCTGTTGCATCATCTTCGTCTGTTGCAAAACACACCCAACAATATCTTTTGCTGTATTAAATAAGAACATGTAGTCAATAAGATGTATTCAACTTTATATCTTCTTCAAATCTGTATCAATTTAACTGATACTAAAACGTACTCGTCTTCAGAATTTACCGCTGATGCATTAATTTCTGGTTGATTTGGAGAAGATGCACCATCAGTCACATCACTTTGTTGCACATTCTCTGTAGGTTTAGATATTGCAACAGGTGCAATAGGTTCTTCATTAGGTGCAACTATTGCAGCCTGAACATCCTGCGCTTCTTTAATAATAGGTATTAATTATTGTCTCAAATTTAAGAATACGAATAATCATATGTGCTCATTACATCAAATCTTTTTAAACTACACTTATTACTATTCGTATTGTAATTTATATTATAAATATATGTTAATAATATTTCATTCTTATGTACTATTCAGAAAAAGGTTTTGTTAATAGTTATACAAATTTTTGTAATAATCTTTTATAATGGTTTTTACCATTATTCAATTCATTAGTCTGTCTTTCTGGCCTTCTGGTGCCAAATCTTCTTAAAGTTTCCTCTATACTTGAAAGACGACTAATAGATCTAATCTCAGATTCAATGCGTACTATACTACCAGGAGGATCAAGTCCATATGAAATATGTGGTAAATTGTTATCTGACATTTTGTCTTTAAAAATATAAGACTTTTAATATTTCATCACTATGTTATACCTGAAAAAATACATATTATTATTTATAAAGAAATATAGTGCAATTTAAAGTATATTAAATTACTGCATTAAATATTAATGTAACTTGTACCAAATTTCAAGGACATTGCATAATACCATATAAATGCAATATGTACATACATATTGCACATTATAATGTGCTACTAATCAAAGGACATTTACCTTTTTACATGTACTTACATATTTTTTTCTTTATTGTGTTATGCATTGTTACTAAGTTTTAGTGATACCTTAACAAATATCTATCAAACTGTTTCTTACATTAAATTGAACAGCAATGTTATTTTCCTAAAATGCACTATAAACTTTTTGTAAAACAATTTTGTTAACAACTGGTATGTTGTTATGAAGTTGATTGTCTACTGGTTATCGTGTATTATTTTAAACTAGAATAATGTATTGCAACACATTGCAAGGTTTATTTGTCATAAAATGAATATTTCAGTTAAATAAAAATTGTGCAAGTTGTGATAGAGAAATAGATCGATAGTATCTTGTGTTAGCAATGATGAAAATTCATTATTGAAATCGAAAGTTTATTAATTTCTACCTGTAATGCTATTCATAAACAATTCACTGTTACACATTTACGAAAGGATGAAACCATTGACATCTTTTCTTAAGATATAATGTTAAAAACCACAGTTTAGTTATATATATATATATATGTGTGTGTAAATCGTTGTTAATATTTTATGATAGCACGACAACGCAATTTTTGAAATTCACTCTGGAAATTACAGATTTATTTTTTTACTATTATTGGTAACAATTAAAAGTTACGTGAAATTGCTGCCTGTACTGACAACATGTTAATGCGAAAATACACCAATCTAATATACCGCCAAACTTTAAACGCTTTTAATTATCGAGATTTTGATTTATATCACAAAATGATGAACGAGTTGTAAGTACTCAACTTAACTTCTCTTTCTTAAGTTGATAATCATTTTTCTATAAGACGTCGTGATTTATACTTACAAAATTTTATTATTTTCATTTTTCAGCGCCATCTTCATTTCATCATTCAAGAATTTCTACTTTTCCTATATCACCATTATTCGTAGAGGAGTTTACTTTGCTCGATGCTGTACGTAATAAAGGCTAGCTCGCAAGAGAATATTTTACTGTTCAATCAGCTGATATGCAAGAAAGGTGATTGGTCAAATATATTTCTTTTTATCCTCTTTCAATTCAACTACATCCTTATAAGCGGAAGTAAATTGATCATTGTAGTATTTTCCTGCCTGATTCGCTGTTCATATGTGTGCCTAAACCAGCCTAAAGTGGTTTATGAATTCCTCAACAGCGTGGTAGCATTGCATAGAAACCGTAGATAAAAACGTGATGAAATAATGCTTGAAATGAATCGGATACGAATTTGAAATCAGCAATTATACCAAGAGGATGACGACTAATAAAGAATCTACACATGACGGCCTTTTGAAAAGGCTTGTCAAAAGTGATGAAAAGGAGGTTGTGAAATGCCGGACTAGTGCGGATAATATTGAAGGGCATAAATTACGACACGGCACGGACAGTTTTCCAAATATTAATGCAAGACCGGTTGACGATATATCAATCGAATTTTTTTACAAACCCCACAGCATTACATTGCTTCTTATTGCAATCGGAGCTGTAATATATTTTGCCTTTACTAGGTAATTATATGTTCATATATTTATTTAATTGTAAATTTTAAAACTTGTACATATCAGTGTTAATTTAACACAGGAACACTACCAATGTTGAGGACAATATTTGGGCTGGAATTCTCTCCATCATATTTTTTTTTCTTATCATATCAATACTCACATTTCCAAATGGACCATTTACGAGACCTCATCCAGTTGTTTGGAGACTTGTGTTTGGCTGTAGTGTACTATACTTAATGGGGCTGTTATTTATGTTATTTCAAGATTATGAAACAGTCAGAAAGATCTTTGTTTGGATAGATCCTGACTTGGCATCATTTCACATTGATATGGACAAAGAATATGGTGTTAATTGTTCTGATATTACATTAGAGAAGATATGGAACCATTTAGATGTTTTTGCAGCAGCCCATTTCTTAGGGTGGACGTTTAAAGCGATATTAATTCGTCATTTTGGTATTCTTTGGGCCATCAGTTTAATGTGGGAAGTAACAGAAATAGCATTTGCTCATTTACTACCAAACTTTGTGGAATGTTGGTGGGATGCTTTTATACTTGATGTGGTTGTCTGTAATGGTTTGGGTATCTGGGTAGGATTAAAAATTTGTTCTCTTTTGGAAATGCGAGAATATAAATGGGTAAGCATCCTTGACATTGAAAGTACTACTGGAAAATTGAAGAGAGCAATGCTACAATTTACTCCTGGTAGTTGGACTGCTGTTAGATGGTTGGATCCAACATGTACATACATGAGATTTGTTGCTCTAAGTCAGTTGGTTATTTTCTGGCAGGTTTCAGAGCTAAATACATTTTTCTTGAAGCATGTTTACGAATTCCCACCTTCTCATCCATTTGTTGTAGCAAGATTGATACTCATTGGAGTAATTGTTGCACCATCTGTTAGGTAGGCAAGACCTATAATAAGAAAATGAACTAGACCTTAATTAAGCATATAAAATTTTACTAAAAAGTATATATTTTATTATAAATTGTAGGCAGTACTATTTGTATGTAACAGATCCAACATGTAGTAGAGTAGGGACTCAATGTTGGGTTTATGGTGCAATCATGGTTACAGAGGCTTTACTATGTATCAGGCATGGTGCTGCATTATTTGAACGTACTCAGGCATTAAATATTCTTTTATGGCTACTGTGCCAGTCTCTAGTCTCAGTTCTTTGTGTCTATGGCTGTGTTCTGTGGCATCAGTACTTTGAGGTATGTGTTTTGTGCTTTGGAATTGAATTATTGATTCACTTTGTAACTAATTGTATGATTATCTGTGTATTATTTTTTTTTCCAATGCCTTGTGCATGGCTCTTGTATTTCCAGACGGAAAAGAAAGTTACTTCAAAACAGTCTATTACTCAACTAGACAACAGCCATCTGGATATAATTCCTAGCAGTGGTATGTGTTGGTATCTACTACATAGCATAAATAACAATTCATGCTAAGCCGATAGTGTACTGGGCTATTGACTTATAATTAACTGATTACTAAATATAAATCAAGAGTGCTACAATCTGTTATATAACTGACATGAATGGTATCAATACATAATAAATAGTGTCATGGATGTTTTTATGTTCTCGGTATTGAAAGACGAAAATTTTTGTATGCGTGTACGTTGTGTTATATCAATAAAATTTACAAAATATATAGACCAAAAGTAAGTGCAACAATAATGAATATTTATATAAAAATATACATTGTCACAGCTCAGTTCATCATTGGTTTATTAGACTCAGAATTAATGCATATTTATAGCGATCGATTTATGTTTTAGGGAGTATGGCTGATTCTACAAAATCTATGGACTCGCTGGAAAAGAAGAAACTGTGAACGGGTTCAGAATAAAAAATGACCAACTTAAGGGTGAATTATTTATTAAACTTTCTAGTCGCATCATAAGAGCATACACTGAAGACTATTTGAACTTAGTAAGTTACTGACGAATGTATGAGCTCTTTTGAACTTTGGATACCGCGTCTGTTTGTGTGTGAATATTATTGAAAAAAAATCTTGTTCCTGAGAATAAATGAAGAGCGTCGTTACCACTTAATTATGCTTCCTTACAAAGTATTGGTCGCTGCATTGTTTACGTGTTACAATTAATTCAGTTACACTGAAGATATGGAAATGGAGTGCATGTATAACTTGGCATTATCTGTGAACCTTCCGGACAGTCCCAAGCTTTACCAAGGAGCTTGTTATTGGACGCCGAGACAAAGATGCGAATTCGGCTTGGTAATTGTTCGTTCTCGTACAGTGATATATACGATGATGTAAGTGGTGACTTTGTACAATGCATCTATAAAAAGAAAAAAAGGAATCGTGATTGTAAACTATTATATACTACTATTATCATAACAATATTATAGTTTTATTTAAAATATCAATGCCATAAATATTACTGTAATAAGAGTACCTGAGCGTAGGTGAGATAGAATAACTGATCGAACTTAAGTTTAAGCCACGGAAGATGAACTTCCTCGGGAGATCTCAGTCGACCCAAAGTATCGTAGGCCAATCTGAGCCCCATTGCTTCGGATAGGCGTTCGTTTAGACTCAATTGCAAAATCTAAAATGCGTTGAAAAAAAAAAGAATATTGCTTTTAGACGTTTATTAAAATGAATGTTTTACTTTAAAATCGTATTTTTACATTATAACGATTTTATAGAAAAACAGAAAAAGATGTATGAGTTTACCTCGTAAGCGACAGTCTGCCCTGAAGACGATATTGTCATATTCATAGGATTTTGATAAAGAATATTTCTCTCATTGTTAATGTAATCCTCTTTATCACTCAACAAAGAGTTCTCGGTGTCTCGAGTTCCATTCCAATAATAGATACCTAAGGATACACGTTAAGGTATATTGTTGCATATTTGAACGATAAGATTTTCTTTCTCGATCAAATCTACTGTTACAAGTAGATCGCTGTGTCATTATAAATATGAATATGTATATCAATATGAATATTACGTATCGTTGAAACATACCATTTGCGTCGAAGTGATGAGCAATTTGATGTGCTATCACGTTACCAAGTGTCGCCAGTATTATGTAATCAAACGAGAGTTCATCATATTTCGTGGACCAGTCGATCACACCGAACGGTATCACAACAAGATTTAATCCATAAATCGCAAGCCCTTTGGACTGGAACGGTGTTGCGTAATGAGTCCATCTGTTAGTCCATTTAATCCATATAACAGAGTTACATTAATTCATATATTTATTTGTATTTGTAAGAACTTACGTTTGTTCAGGGTCACCTGGATTTTTAAATAATTCCGCATATATTAGTCGTCGATACCTTTGCATCAATGTGACAGAGTTCTCGACATAATTGTCTGATAAATCGATCTGAAATCATAAATTGTCCTACTATGTTAGTTGATGCGAGCAACATGTACGAGTCTTAATATTACGCACATACTTCTTATTGTTTCTTTATAAAACACAAGTGTTCTTTCTTTTTTTTTTTATGTACCTCGTTTGCTTTAGTTATTCTGTAAGTAGACGTGTTGTTAGTTAAATAGGAAATATCAGGTACAGCAATTTTCAAATCGTCTATTTTAGCGATCAACGCATTGCGTTCATTCGGTGCGGCCCATTCTACCTCCTTTACATTTAATTTTAGAGTCTCTTTAAGTTGATCAAACAATCTGTGTATCTGTTAAGTTATTAAATAGCGATTAAACATTGTTATGTAAACGATCCCTTCTAATAGTCACGATACACGAAGTTAAGTCTTACTGTTTTATTTATGTATACGAGTTGATCTCTCGAAAAGGAGGAAACGTACAAATCCGATGCTTCCGGGATTAAAACGTTAACAGCTACTCGAAGGCAATATTCTTTAGCTTCTCGTTGCTTTGGCAGAACCAGCTAGAAAAGAAATGGGAAATGGTTAAAATGAAAACATTATGTTAATGAAGTAGAAACAAGAATGTACCTCGTGATAAAGATTGCGTGCATACAATCCTAACAGTGCGTTATTTAATTGCATAGGATCTTCATTTTTGAACTTTTCCAGGCTTTTCAGTCCTTGAGCCAGAGCATCGTAGAAGTAAACCTGCACCCGAGCTTCCGGTTTAATTTGTCTCTTAGTTAATAAATAAATTAATTGTGTCCAATTCACCTGCGAACACGTTAAAAAATCATATTAACCATTCTATCAGGCGAATCGATTAAGCGAACAAATTTCTTACGACTTTGTAATTTTTATCCAGCGTCTCTATGTCGACTCTTGTGTAGTTTTTCATTAGATAAGCCTCGCGAATCTTTTCCTTAGACGGGTAATTCTGGAAAACAGTAAAACGATAAGCCATCGATAATGCTTATAGAAATCGATGGACTTACCGCGAAGAATTTCTGCACTATTTCCAAATCAATTTTAATAACCGTTGTCTGTACATTTTGCAAGATGTTGTATGTAGAGTTTAGCTCACTAAAGACGCCGAGTGCTGTCAGAGCTTTTGAAATGGATTTTATAAACTTCTCGGTATCATTCTAAAGAATAAATTAGAGTTTTAATTGAAATTTCAGTGATCCTCTTATAGTGCATTGTTCTACATATTCATACTTTGCAAGCTTTATATTCATTGTACAGTTTCCCTAAATCCACCGTTTCTTGTTCTCTTTCGAATTCGCTCGCGTAACAAGGATCATCCGATTCCTCTATTTCAAAAGGATTTTTGTACGTGGTCGGTCCTATCTTAAGGGTGAAATGTTTTGGTGAATACTCGTCTAGGTCTGGAGAAAGATCGAACAGTAATGCGCTAGAAAAACAGATACAAAAATATGCGTATAAATGTATGATTATTTTTGTAAACTTGTTTTCTGAATCTCTCACCTGTTCTGTAACAATAGTTTAGCGAGAAGCTCGGTAAAGCTTGTATGATTTTTCGTCCAATCTTCGGTGGTGTAAAACTTTCCAACTTTGTCCAACGCCTGTCTAGCTGTAACCGTGTTACAAAAAGCATGTAAACGTGTGTATTATTTAAATTTCTGTGTAGAGTAAATGGCGATATAGGGAAGGCAGGAATTTTAAAAATTCTAGTTTTTACACTATTAATATTAAAAGTGATTTAGAAACAAAATAATCTCCCCTAGATCGTCATTCTCCCCGGGGATGCCTAAGTAGAGAGGCAAGAGTCCGGGAAAGCTTACTATGTTCGATACTCTGTACCTAACTTTATCCTTTCAGTTAACTCAATGTTCTCGTATTGCAGACAGCTGTTATAGTATTTGGCGAACAGAGAGGATTTCCCTTGACGAAGTTCTTTCTGCATTTGCCCTGAAATATTTCTTATTTATCTTTCATGGCTTGGATTGTTACATTTTGTAGCGTTAATTATTAATTTATACGCACTTAATATCCGCTCATAAGCTACGTGTTCCAAATTCCGATCAACAGTCTGAGGATTCGATTCAAAACCACCACAAGCGTACTCGTAAAAGTCTTCACACGGATCAGTCGTGTGATTCATGTAAAATAACATTTTGCTGGCTATATTTTTGCATTCGCCTGTTGTACATATTTTCTCGTTAATTGAATTAACAGTGGACGTAATTAGAGGCTCACTTGTGGTATCATCCATCATTGTACTCAATATTGTAGGATGATTAAGCGTATCCTGATGAATCTCGGTGGTAATTTCTGTTATATTATTCGTCGTACTTTGGTACACTTCTGAAGAAGTATCTTCAGTAATGAAATGAAGATTTGTGGAATTGGAAACAGAATAGTTTGAAGATTGTGTGGTGTTGATCTCCTGCTCTGTGATCGATGATACATCTTCAGTACTTGTATTAATTGTTGAACGATTATCATATAAATCATCTTCGTTTACTGGAGATATTGATGCTACTTCCGTGGTATCAACCTCACTTAAGAGTTTCCCAAATTTGGACGAGTTACCACTTTCATTAGTAAAGTCTACTATATTATAATCTTCTGTAGATGTCTTAAACTCTGGTATTGTTTCTATCGGTTCGAACAAAGTGATCGATGATACATTTTCAGTACTTGGATTAATTGTCGATGGATTACCGTATAAATCATCTTCATTTACTGGAGATATTGATGCTCCTTCCGTGGTATCAACGTCATTTAAGAGTTTCCCAAATTTGGACGAGTTACCACTTTCATTTGTAGGGTCTACTATATTATAATCTTCAGTAGATGTCTCAGACTCTGGTATAGTTTCCTTTGGTTCGAACAAAGTGACCACAGTATTTGGATAATAATTTGATTTTGTAGTCGTAGTCGTCCTTTCTGTATGGTGTTCATGATCATGGTGATGATGCTGTAACAATATAATCATTTTTTAATTGAACTTTGATAATGTTAGTTGTGAGAAACTCACCTGTGCTGTTCCCACTTGTTCACCTTTGTATTCAGGTTGATTGACATAACTCTTTTTCCATGGTAAACTGACGAGTATGAGGATAATACAGAGGAAGAAAAATATGATTAATGCTAACAGACAACTTCTGTAAGATTGATCATATTCTGCTACTTTGTTGTTTTCTATAGCAGTGACTTGATAAGATCTTTGAGAAGGCATTCTTTAAAGTATAATATATTTATATTGTTTGCAAACGATGTTCACTACGTGCACGAGAATGCTGCGTTTCTTTTACTGAATCAAAGTTGAACTAAAGCTAATACAAGAAAAGAAACGGTGATTGTGGTTTCGTTGACCACTTCCTTTTATGTGTTATCATTAAATGTTTCCCTAACGTCCGTAATGAACGATATTACGACCTTTTATTAATTCCCGAGGAGCGTATATCAGAGGAATTGGATCGAATGAAATAAAATACTCTGATTGACACAAACATCTTTTTTTTTTGTTTTTTTAATACATCCATAGATTCCAAACGGCCCAAGGAAGGCGACGTTAAAAATATCCAAGATAGATAGATATAAGTTACTTATATTAATATATTTTATAATACAATTATCACAGATATGTAAACTACAAAATATTATATACTATTATAAAATGCAACTTGCAGTTTGCCAATGATCCCATTGCACGTAGTATGACATCTTATCTACAGCCTAGACTATATTATAATTTAAATACAATTAAAAAATATATTTAAAAACTCTATTCGCCTGTCTGTTGTACCAAATATATATCAATGTTGCGTTTAATTTCATTGTCCGCTGCGTCAGATTTCATAAGAGCTTCGATCGTTGAACCAATTTCTCTTGATACGAATATATTCTCTATTTTTTTGGTACAAGTTTCGTCTTTGTATTCATCGGACTTTAATATATCCAGGGTGATCTAAAACCGATGATTATACATGTCAGTGAAATAAATACTATACATTGATTGTTGAATGATTTAAGGAAACTTGCGGGATAATTACTTTTCTTTGTATTTCGTCAGCCTTAAACTTCTCTAGTTTCTCCTTATCGGCAAGTCCAATTGTAGTCTTTGACGATGTTTGTCTCTTTGGAGTAGGTCTTCTTGGCTTAAATGATCCGGAAGCTTTCTTAGGTAACTGTGAGCTCATATGCTTCTTAGTCTCGTTCGACTGGTCGCAGTTATGAGTTAGCAATTGTTCTTTAGTTTTAAATGCCTGTAACGAGTATTTCAATAAGTAAGCCTCTGTTTGAAGACATACGATGTATTCATTTCAATGCCGTCGACACTTACGTGTGAACAAATTTCGCATTTTAAACTATGTTTATTCATTTCATGATGTTTAAGAGCTTGGGCCCGATGGAAATTACGGTTACAGTGACTACAACTAAATCGTTTGATATTGCTATGCGTCAGAAGATGACGCTTCAATTTATCAGGTCGCGAAAATTCACTCATACAACCTAAATAACTTCTGAAGGGGCACTTTAATCTCTTTGTTAAATCATGAATCAGCATATGACGACCCAAACGATCTTTTCGTTTGAATCTAGCTGGGCAATGCTATAAGGAAATTATACGTATACAGAGAATATAAAAGAACTTGATTAGTTTTCAAAGAAATTATAATATCACTCACCGGACATAGGAATGGCGTTTCCTCGCTATGTATTAACTTATGATTCGCTAAATATTGCTCAGTTTTGAAGGCCTTCCCGCAATCCTCGCAAGCAAAACGCGCAGATGAGGCGTGAGTTTTCAAATGGCGCCGTAAGAATCGTTCGATCAAGAAGCTTTTTCCACAATGTAGACATGCGTAATCGTGCGTTGTAGTTTCTGTGTGATGTTGTAAAGCCTCCAGATTAGAAAAGGAGGATTTACAAACAGAGCAGCAGTAATATTTCTCGGTCGTCTTTTGCTTTTGGACGGAGTGGGCGTACTGATGAAGCCCAAGATCAGACAAAGTGTTAAATACTTCGCCGCATACGTGACAACGATACTCCGATCTTTTATGACTGCGAGTATGCTCCAAGAAATCTTCAAGTTCAGCAAACATCATACTACAACTACTCTGCACACATTTGTACACTTTCAGTGCTAAGTGAGATACTATAAGATGGCCCTTTAGAGCTTTGTACGAATCAAATATTTCTTTGCAGAACTGGCAATGATAGGTACGATCTATGCTTCCATCCGGTGGTGCCTGACAATGGTTATTGATGATTATAAAGAGCCATGGACGGAACGTACAAGTGCACGTGAAAATAATTCAAATACCTCTGGAGGCAAGGAGTGTATTGCAGTGCCTGGCCATACTTTATGCGATGACATGTGTTTTTTAACGTTAGATTTTTGTGCGAATGCACGTCCACATACAACACATTGATATGGCTTTTCCCCTGTATGAGAACGTTCGTGTTGTTGCCAATAAAATTTTTTGGAAAATTGTTTGTTACAATAACCGCACTTATACTGAAACAAAAGATTTTTATAATAAATAAATCTTGTGTATTTTATTATTCCCTGTCATACATACTTTTAAATGTGGTGATTGATTAATAATAGCGTCTAATTCATCTTGCGTACATTCAGTTACATTTTCAACTAGATTTTGAGTTATTGATATAATAACTTTGTCTGAACTGTTAATATTATGTTCTCCTGAAATATCACTTTGGAGAACTTGAGGTACTTGGTTTGAATCATCTTTAATGTGATCGGTATCTGTTGGAATAGTGGAGGTTTCAAAAGTATCTAAACCTTCTGAACTTAAGATAATTGGAACACCAAATGTGGAATCTGTTGAAAAGTAATTAGCACCCTCTTGATCCATGCTACAACAAATACAGAACATATCATTTATTGTAGAAGACCTGCTAAATGTATATTAAAGTACTTGTAATATACCTAAATAGCATATCTGATTCTTCGAGTATAATTGGCTCATTAAGTTGGTCATTTTGAACAAATGTTTCTTGAGGATTATATTGTGATACATGTTGGCTATTGTCTTCTATATGAATAGTTTGATTTTCATCATTTACCAAAAACTGACTCAAATCTACTGTTTGCTCTTGTGTTTTTTGGTGTGTCCTTTTGTGCAATACAAACATGTGCAATGATGTAAATTGATTTTTGCATTTTCCACACTGAAATATATCTTCTTCATCCAGATCGATTGCTAAATATAATATGTAAAAATATTTATCATAAATCCATTCTACTGAAGTTTGTAGAAACAAAAAAATTTCAATTAACAGAGTATCACCGTTTATTTTAACAAAAACCAACCTGATTGCTCAACCTCGGTTATTAGAGTCGGAGATTCTAATAAACATTGCACAGAAGGAACGTCTAGTGATACACCTGTAAAATACATGAAATATCGCGTTCAATACTTTTAGAACAGAAGAAAAATAGGATACTTGATGGTTAACCCCACCTATTTTCATGATAGAAAATTTTTACCTGTTAAAGCGTCGAAAATAGATTGCGCCATAGTTTGCAATAATATTAATGCTTCATTTTAAAAGAAATCAATGATCAGGTTTTCATAATTCGTTTAATATGGAGAAAATGAAGGAATTCCAAGTCAGAAACATACCGAGAATTTCTACGCCCTGGCAGCGCTGTTGCTGACCAGGCCAGCGACTAATAATCGATATGTCGATTGTTGGAAACGATTCTAACCTCAAAATAGGACAAATCTCACTTCACAGATGTTACAGGCTACAGGCTCTCTAAACTCCCGTATTACTATCACTATAATACAAATTGCTTATTAGGACTGATACTACATAGGGGTCCCTGACACCCCATACGATATCAGGTCGGTATGCAGGGAGCGCCACCGATGCATTAGGGGTCTCTAACACCCCAGTCAGAGTTTGTTTTTATAACAAACAGATTTTGTGATAACTGATAACTGTACTTGATTGGAAATCGTTTGTGATTTACAAATATATCATTTTCATTGTTTGTGAGTGAATGATTTCTTAATTACTTATAAGATTGTTTTATCATAAATAATTGTAGTGCGCATGCGATACAGATCCGGTCGTACCCATCACTACCTCGAACAAGTGAGTTTCACGATTTGTTCGGTTTTAGGTCTTATATTTCGCTAGATCCGGTCGTACCCATCACTATCCCGAACAAGAGAGTTTCACGATTTGTTCGTTTTTCGTTCTTATATTTCGCTAGATCCGGTCAAACCCATCACTATTCCGAACAAGTGAGTTTCACGATTTGTTCGTTTTTCGTTCTTATATTTCGCTAGTTGCTTCGGGGTCCCTGACACCCCAGGTAGCGTTACATCGGTGTCACCGGTACCTTGGGGTCTCAGACACCCCTAATGCCGTAGTGTCGGTAAGCAAAGAGTGTCATCGGTGCTTCGGGGTCGCTGACATCCCAGGTAGCGTAATATCGGTGTCACCGGTACCTCGGGGTCCCTGACACCCCAGGTAGCGTAACATCGGTGTCACCGGTATCTCGGGATCTCAGACACCCCGAATGCCGCAGTGTCGGTAAGCAAAGAGTGTCATCGGTGCTTTGGGGTCCCTGACACCCCGGATGCCAAAATGTCGGTATGCAAACAGTGTCACCGGTGCATAGGGGTTCCTGACACCCCAAGATGATATGTCGATATACTGAAATAACCAATGGTGCTTCGGGGTCCCTGGTACCCCGGATGCTATATTTTTGGTATGCAAAGATAGTCACCGGCGTTTCGGGGTCCTTAACACCCCAATATGATATCAGGACGGTACGCACACGGCGTCATTGGTGCAGCGGGGTCCCCAACATCCCTGGATAAAATCAGGTCTGTATGAAGAGGGCACAACCAGTATAATTTTTCTCCACAGTTTATTTAATTTACTTCATTTATTTTTTTTGCTTATTAAATAAGCTCATCGAAGGCGAATAACATTTATGATTATATTCCTCTTCTGGGTCTCAGCTGAGGACCTCATTTATTTTACTTTTTCCAGTTATTTATATAATTTTATCCCTCATTATAGGCCAAGACTATCTCAGCACCCCTTCCATCCCTGCATTTCTTCTATCCCAGCATTCCTTATATTCCTGTAACCCTTAAATACCCCTTTTTTTTTTTTTTTTTTTAACGTGGTGGAAATCTTCAGAAAGACACCTCCAGTCCCCCTGGGGAGGGGCCGGAGGTAGTGTGGGATTTTTACCCACTAAAACCACCACGGTGGCCTGCACCAGGGTGGTCGGGAGGGTCCTTCGACCCTCCGCCATGTGTCAAACTCCGCCGACATCGGGGGCCACACCCGATGCCGGCGCTCTTCGGGCCGCGCGCAGTGGAGACCGGGGCCCCAGCTCCGAACCCCTACGGAATTCCATTACATCCCTCGTTCCGTTACATCTCTGCATCCCTTACATCCATGCATTCTTTCCATCCCTACATTCTTTTCATCTCTACATTCCTTTCATAGCTACATTCATTTCATCCCCATGTTCTTTTCATCCCAACATTCTTTTCATCCCTACATTCCTTACATCGCTTCATCCCTTACATCCCTACATTATTATCATCCCTACATTCCTTTCATCTCTACATTCCTTTCATCCCTATATTCCTTACATCTCTTCATCCCTTAAATCACTACATTATTTTCATCCCTACATTCTTTTCATCCGTACATTCTTTTCATCCCTCCACTCTTTTCGTCCCTACATTCCTTACATTGCTTCATCCCTTTCATCGTTTCATCCCTTACATCCCAACATTCTTTTCATCCCTACATTCCTTTCATCCCTACATTCCTTTCATCCCTACATTCCTTACATCTCTGCATCCCTTATAATTTATATATATTATAAAGACTGCTTCGAGTAAAGGTAAGTAAAGGTAAGTAAAGGTAGCTTAGTTCCTTTTTTCTAGGGGCGCTATCTTTTCGAGAATTTCGCGAAAATTTCGAAAAAACAGCGCCCCCTAGCGGCAAAAATGTGAACTAAAATCTCGACCTCGAATCAGCGCCATCTGGTTTTTGAAAAAGGAACTAAATCAAGCAGTGATTTTGGCCCTCTAGCGGCAAAAATGTGAACTAAAATCTCGACCTCGAATCAGCGCCATCTGGTTTTTGAAAAAGGAACTAAATCAAGCAGTGATTTTGGCCCTCTAGCGGCAAAAATGTGAACTAAAATCTCGACCTCGAATCAGCGCCATCTGGTTTTTGAAAAAGGAACTAAAGCAAACAGAGATTTTGGCCCTCTATCGGCAAAAATGTGAACTAAAATCTCGACCTCGAATCAGCGCCATCTGGTTTTTGAAAAAGGAACTAAACCAAGCCGAGATTTTGGCCCTCTAGCGGCAAAAATGTGAACTAAAATCTCGACCTCGAATCAGCGCCATCTGATTTTAAAAAAAGGAACTAAATCAAGAAGCAATTTTGGCCCTCTAGCGGCAAAAATGTGAACTAAAATTTCGAGGTCGAATCAGCGCCATCTGGTGGCGAAAAAAGGTACTAAATTTGTATAAAATCACAGGACTTATGGAATGCAGGAATATAAGTGATACAGGGATGTAAAGGATACAGGCATGTAAGGATATTGGGATATAAAGAAGGCAGGAATGTGAGGAATGCAGAGATATAAGGGATGTAGAGATGTGAGGAATGCTGGGATGTAAGGGATGAAGAGATGTAAGGGATGAAGAGATGTAAGGGATGAAGAAATGTAAGGGATGAAGAGATGTAAGGAATGTCGGGATGTAAGGGATGAAGATATGTAAGGAATGTAGGGATATAAGGGATGAAGCGATGTAAGGAATGTAGGGATATAAGGGATGAAGCGATGTAAGGAATAATATATTTGTAAATCACAAACGATTTACAAATGAAATACACTAAGAAAAATTAAAAATAATCATATTTTATTATTCCTTCCGGCTAGCTTCATGTATGTAGGTGATGTGCATGCAGACCTAACGTATCTGGGGTTTCTGAGACCCCTTAAATCATGACCCCTGGAGAATAAAGGCATGTATGGATGTACGGTGTTTTGTATCTGTAGTCACTGGCGAGTATCAAAGAAGGTTAGAAGGTTAGAAGGAAGATGTGAAGTAGTTGTCAAGTTCTGCACGCTTAAAACGCCTGAGTAATTTCTTCGAGTATTTTGCAGAATAACGTATTAAAAAATGGCTGCAATATTGCGCGTAAAACGTCGACACGACGATGAACCTTTAAATGCTTTAGTAATTTCATATAAACGACAAAAGACAAAGGAAACTGAAGAAACACAGTCGGTTTCACCGGTTCCTTTAGCAACACTTGCTAAGTTCGCTGGAACTGTTAAGAAACAGGTTTGTATTTAAAATGAAAGTTGTATAAAAGTAATATTAATATATTTCTTTTTCTTGTTGCAACAGGAAGATAGTGTTGGTCATTTAATTCAGACTTATGGAAAAGACGAATTGAAAGAAAACTTCAAACAACATCCTGTGGATATTTTAAATAAAGTAAGGGAGACAACTAAACAGGCTTCAGCAGAGAACCGTTATAAAGTGGTCAATTATTTTCGCTCTCTAGATGATGCCAATCTCAAAGAGTTTGAGAATAAAGGCATGACAGTTATAGATTTAGAGGATTCTAAGTCTATGGCAAAACAAGATCCTGTAGAAAAAGTACATAACACTTTCTTATTGGACTTATATCAAAGTAGAATTAATTGTTAATTATATAATGTCAATGTTATTTTCAGGATGATAGTTATGTATATGATCTGTATTATGTGCAAACTGATAATGACATGTACATAGATAATATGTTATCTGTGTATCCATACGAGCAAGAATTGGTTTATGATACCTATAGAGAAAATCATTGTGAAGCTGAATGTGAATCAGAAGATTCCAATTCAGAATCTAATTGGAGAAATGATTATCCTGATTCTCCTCATTCTGAAAGATCAATTAATGAGGACGATATGAGAGAGGCAGTTATGAACATGAAATTGGATGAAGGATCTGATTTGTCTGAAGAAGATGATTTTGTCTATGCGGTTGATGAAGCTGATGTAGAAAATTATGGTTATAAATATGCAAGGTACAAGGCAAAAATAAAAGAAGAATTAGATGAAGATGACGAGGAAAATCATTTGAGCGATTATAGTGCTATATGCTTTTCGGAAGAAGAGGAGGATAATGATTCCATTGTAGATAGTGATTTAGACTAAGCTGACTATGTGATATTGAATTTAAATTAATAAGATACAAAATAATATAATGTAATTAGATTTAGTTCTTTTTTTTATACTGTCAGAAAACAATTAGGTAAGCAATGTTTGTAATACAGTTACACCTTATACTGTATAAGATAATTTAAATTAGTGTAAGAAACATATCTTGTTTTCTAAATAAACCATGTAATTTAGATCATTATTTTCATTGCATAGAAGTAAGGGTCATAAAGATCTTAAAATTTTATTTCATCTATATATTTATTACATATTTATATAGATATATTTTGTATGTAAAATTCATCTATCAAAATAAAAACAATAAAGGTAAGCCTAGACGTTCAAGTGACAAAGGAAGGTGTGTATAGGTGTTCAGAAAAAGAATCGTTTTCGACGATATGGCATATAATGATATACCAGGTTTATAATGTGTAACAAATTGTTGGAAGTACCAGATAGAGATTTACAAATTGTTTAGCAATAAAGTATCTCATCTGTAATGTGTTGTTATCAAATTTTTTGCATTTATTTTTGCTGGAATACCGGTGACTCTTGCTTTACTTTAAACGGTAATTAGCAGAAGGCCCGTAAATAATATAACAATTACTTTATAAAAGTATTTGCGAACATTCGCGTTTATCTGACTATGCTACTCGCCAAAATATGAAAACAATTTTATATAACTGAGATTTTTCGAATACGTTGCATTGTTCTATGACAACGTTCAAGTTACGTTCACCCGTTCATTCATTCTTTCTCTCTCATCATCATCATCATCATCAAAACTCACACGCGAAGAAATTCATGTTTTTTTAAACGAACTTGTTTATAATGATATGAATAGTACGCTTGCGTATACGTGTAACACTGGCCTTAATTCTAATTTTTACATTTACGCGCTCGCAACGGATCGTAACTTGTTAACAAGTACATACACGCGATGCTTTCTTTTGATTGTAATGTTACGAAGCAAATGCGTTGGTAAGAATCCAATTAAATATCGTATCCTGAATTCGAGGGGAATACTAGAGCTCCTTTAGTTCTTTAGCTGTTCCACGACAGTATCTGTTGGCAAGCGAATCTTTCTATGGCAGTCTGGATACAATTTATCAACGTACTTACTCGTCGATAGTATGAGCGCGATTTTTATGGACATGAAATTATTTATTTATATTTATATATAATATATTAAATGTCATATTGCAACTTAGCATTTTTGCACAAGCTGGGAATTGGTATCATTCAGGATAACTACTTATATCGTTCCGTAATACTCTACTCGTCTACTGTACAACATTTTACATTCATTATTTTTCGTAATTCCTTAGGTATGTTGTCGATAATCAGTTAAAACTACGAGATTATTAAAGAGTCATGAGATTGCACACCTTTTGTATGGTTCGATCGTGGCTTTCGAGGACCAACTGCACGCAAACATAATCACAACCACGATCCTTCGTATGCAAGACGCTGTGTTCTCCATTTGCTAGTTCCACTTTGGTATTTCATTGTCTTCTTATACATTTTAATACGCGATTCTACATCGTACATACCTAGACGAACCAAAAAGCAAACTAGCAAACGTGAATACGATCACTGTACTTGTTCTCGCTCTAACTAATTTCGCTTATCCTTTACGCAGTTCCTCGTCGCGTTCACGTACGCGTATATACACGTTGGCTAATTGAACTTATAAGTACAAACAATTCCCTGGATCAACAGAAATCACACAACGGTTGTCAACTAAATCTGTAATTATATTATATTATATTTTATATATATATATGTATAAACTGGCAACAATTAACAGTCCCATTAGTTGTCTCGCTGACATTAGCCGTGACCTGAGAGTCTTAAAGTACGGATGCCTCGGTCCTGCCACTTGGAGGTGTTGTAGCGTGGCTGCTCGAGTTATTGTTATTATTGTTGTTGTTGTTGTTGCTAGCTTCACCGGCGTGGCTGGAGCAGTAGAATTTCTTGTGAGCAATGAACGTGCTCAGATAGTTGAAGCTGATGTCGCAGGATCTACAATAACGGGGACCGCTTTTATTCGGGTCGAGACTTTCCTCCGGAGGTGGTGTGTCCTCTCGTTCTTGTTTTACTTTGCCGGTCACCGTTGGCGGGGGCGGCGGTGGTGGAGGTGGTGGTTGCGGACTCTTTCGAACTTCCGTCTTCCCGTTCACTTGGACCTCCCCAGGGATTTCCTCGGGAGTGGTGGCCGGAGCTGGTTCCGGTGTAGGAAGAACCGTTTCGTCGTCGAGCACGCACATTATATAATTTTCCTCCTGAAAGGATCAATCGTTACCTCGATGCTGCTCTAAATACTGGACGAGAGAAGGTAGTAGAGCCGCTTACTTGTAAGTCGGTACCGCGTTTTTCAAAATGCATCTTGATATGCGTTCTCATACCGCGCAACGTGTTTCCTTTATATCGACATATCGTGCACCTGAAAGCTTTGACACCCTGGTGCGCGTCCATGTGACGCTGAGCAGCGCCTGCTGTGGGACTAACCGCGCCGCAGACTGGACATCTCCAACCACCAGTGGGTCCACTTGAACAGGTATGCGTACTTCCGGGCTCGATTATAGCCTGTAAAATAAGGAAACGTATTAATTGTACAGTTCTCTACCTGTGTAAGTAACGCGACTTATTTTAAAGAAGAAACTACCAACCTTGCATTTGGAACATCTCGAGTGATGTTCCTGGGGTTCTGCCCTCTTAGGACAGTAAAACGCTTGATGAGCTACCAGATTGTCCATGGAGGCGAATTTGATGCCGCACGCGGCACAGATAAGTTGAACCAAAGGAGGCGAAGGCGTACCAGGTGGCGGAGGACTGCTGCTAACCGTCGTCTCTCTCGCCTGACAATAATGCTTCTTATGGGCGACGAAATTTTCGTGCCGACAGAAGACTATGTTGCATTCTTTGCATCTAAGCATTCAACCGTTAAAATTCATTTATATAACATTTCATGGGAAGTAAAGATATTTTTAAGAGGACAAGTCTAAATCCTAAGAGGAGCGTCTTACCTCGAGACACCTTGTTTGACAAGGACTCCAGGAACCGGGGGTGGCGGCAACTCGGCCAGTCTCAGAGCAAGCTCCGTTGGCGGTGGCGGTGCAACAGTTCCAACTGCGGTTGCAGCAGAACCGATGGACCTTGCTCTGGGACTACCGCTTCCTCTTGATCTTGGGCTACCAGGTGGCGGGGGCAGAGAAGAGGGTGCCGGCGACACCCTGTTCTCCTTTTCATCTTGGTGCGCCGGTGATTTTCTGACGCTTAGATCGAGAGGTGCCGAGCCAGGTGGCGACGTGGACGATGCTACCACGGATGCAGGTGTGGTAGGTTTGTTCGCGACTCGAAGAACTGGCGGAGGATCGACGGTGTTCTGCGCTGTGGCGGCGAGACCTCTAGTCATCGGTTGAAGATGACCTAGAAAAAGAAAGCATTAACTTCAGACATCGTTCTGTCTGAGAAGGAATAAACGGTGGAAGAGGTACGAACCGTTTGGAAGAAGAAAGCACGCGGTATCAGGCGCAGGCAAGGTCGGCGCTGCCAGGACGCTTGCTCCGCGGAACAGGGAGTACGGTACGATGAGGATCGGATTGGTGGGCAGTGCCAGGCAAGGCTGGGGCGGCGGGGATTCACCAGGACTGGCGCTGGTCGGTGGAGACGCTTTCACCGAAGAGGAACTCGCGCTAGCCGCCGGTGGCGTGTCTTTAACCACGTGCCTGGTACTGCAATAATGAGTCTTGTGCGCTCTGTAAGTCTTCAGCGAGCTGAATCTAATGTCGCAATTTCTGCAATATCTCTCCGCCTCTTCGTTCAGCGATCCGTTCGAGGTTGTCGCTGTTCCGCTTCCCGGGGTGGTGGCTGTGGTAGGCGCGGTTGGTATCGTAGGCGGTGCCGGCGAGGCGGCGTGCATCCTCATGTGTCTGTTCAACGACACCTTCTTGTCCGCGCTGTAGGAACAGTGAGGGCAAGCGTACGCTTTCCTCACTTCGAATTTGTTCGATTTCTCCTCGTCCTCCTCGTTCGCTGTGTCCTCTTCGAGCCGAGGCCGATGGGCGCAGTAGAAAGTGCGATGAGCTTCGAGAGTGCTCGCTGAACTGAACCGGATGCCACACGGTGGACAAATCAACGGCGCTGGCCTGGCGGGTTCAACGGTGATCGTTTCTTTGCCATCGGTTGGCAGCACGAACAGTCGACCCGAGGCTATTGCTATAACAATAGTTTCTTTCATAGAATTACGTATCGTTCACGTTGTTATCTGTAATTGAACTATCATCGATTTCTGTTCGTCCAGTAGCAGAAGATGTTATATTAAGGAAACTGGAAGTTACCGTTCTGAAGTCCGGCTGGCAAAGGTGGCACAGGATTCGGGGGCGAGGTGTTCTCCGGCTTGACGGTGAGCGCGGCTACAGCGGCGGGCCGAAGAGCAGGATCCGTCGCCAGACTAGCATTCAGTCTCAGTCTTGGTGCTGCCTCGTCGTCGGGCTTAAGCTTCTTCTCGGACGGTGAATCATCCGCGTTCGATCGCCTCGAGGAATCCTCCGAGTCCCTCCTACATACCGATTCTCGTCTTCTAATCGACGACGTCGAAGAAGAGGACGACCTCGGTTGACAGTCCTCCTCTTTCACCACAACTAGGTTCGATTCCTCGTCCGTGTCTTTCGGACTCGACTCTCGCGTTTGATTCGGCCTCGAGCTGGCATGTCGGTCTCTTAAGCTTCTGGCAACCTGCAAGAATATTCGAACGCGTTTAATGTCGTTCAATTTCCTAACGATTAACTTAATCATTTAAACGGTCGTTGTGGTAGCGGTACCTCGATGTCTTCGGTAAAACTAGCCAACCGTTTCCGAGCGTCTTCGGACAGCACGCTAAGCCTCGTTCTGATATCTTCGGCGGCCGAATTGGCGATCGTAACCGACGACGAGGAGGCGTTCAATCGCGGCGGTGGCGGCAAGTTCGATTCCTCTTCGACGACCGGCGCGATCGGACTGGAAACCGCCGATCCACCACCCTCCACGCCACTGCTCACCGAAGGTGTCTTCTCCGAATCGCTCCATTCCTCATCCTCCCCTGAAACAATCGAGCAAACATCACGGTGTTACTTGTTGATCATTCAACTCTTCAATGATTTCAATTCGGAATAACAATTGATTTCCATCACGATTATCAATGACGATATTGTCCCTACATTTCTTCAATGTGTTCCAATCAGCAGTTTCCCGAGAGACGACCATAGCCACGAAACGGATCCACGTGGCAGAAAACGGGCGGCTCGGTCGAACCGGAAGTCGAAGGGCAACGTAAGAAAACGGAAAAAGAAGAAGAAAAAAAAAGGAGTTGGCACGCACGTTTAAACGATGCGTCCCTATGGCCGTTCGGCTCCCTAATGGTCGCTCGCCACGCCAGCCTTTGCCTACCCTCCGCTCCCTTCTCTTCCTGCTGCCCTTCCTTCCGTCTATCTCTTTCTATTCATCTATCTATTCCCCTACACCAAGCCACCCCACTCGATGAACCCTTCGCACGCCTCTGAAACCCCCACCATTCGACGGCCAGATCGTCGTGGTGCCGATTTCACGCCGAAAGGGCTGCTCTTTCGCGTCGAAATTTCTTTTGGAATTCTTCCAGAACAATTTTGAAAGAATGTTATAAGTTTCATAGTTTTCGAAAATACCATCCGATGAAACTTTCTCGCAGATGGTGCGAAGGATATCCACGATCGGGACGAGTGGAACATTAAACAGGGTATAACAATCAAGCGGATTGTCCTGGAAATCGGGAGGACACGCGTGTCGTTCGTCGAATTACCCGGATGCTTTAATTGCCTGCTAGGGCGAGGTCTCTACTCGCCGGGCAGAGCGTGCAAGAGGGAAAGGGACGTAGGGAGTAGGCGAGATGCCGAAGGAGATTGAACAAAGGGTTGCAGCGCGCTCCTAGGCTATCCTGTGCTCGCATCTACAGCCCGGTCGTGTTCCTTCTGGCTCTCTGTAAATAAGTGGTCATCGATGGATCGGAGCTTGCCAAGCATCACGTTCCTTCTTCAACCGTTCCCTCTCTCTTTCCTAATGCTATCTTCTTCAGGGTCCATTGCTTCGTTCCCTCGTTACTCAACAGGCCACGGGCCTCGCGGAGCGTTCTTAATTGCACGCGCGTACAAGCTACCTGGGACAAGTCCGTTCAAGCGCGAGCTTTGTCGCGTCGAAATTGATCGAACTCAAAGACACATTATTATCCCAGTAACTGACAAACATTTGAAAGAGAAATAATAAGTTTATGAAAACTCTTGGTGGTTGCTTAAGTGGATTTGTTTCTTTTTTTTCCCACACGATTTTTACATAATTTTAACGATAAAGAAAGATAGAAATGTTCATAAGAGGGTTATGATAAAAAGAAACGCCCTTCACCTTCCCCGAAGGCATTTGCTTCGAAACGACTCTATCAGGCACCAGTGTCTCCGCGAAGTGAACTATTAAACACGCTCTATCTGCCTTTCATTCTCGTTACTGGCTTCGACCATTCTTAATTGCGCGTGCATGCAAACGTTCCCGATTGAGAGGGCTGCACCTTGCTCGCCTATGCAACCACCTACAAGCGTCGTCACCGCCCGTCGCCAACCACCTCCGGCTGCTGAGGGTGCAATATATCTCGAAAAGAAGAGGGTGGGAGAGGGGGGGTGGCAACACGGCCGCCATTAACATATTCGCGAGCTGATAAGCCTTTCTCAGAACCGATACCGCGCCGGTGTACACCTTCGGCCCCCGCTTTATGCGAGAAAACGAACAGCCAGCCGGTAACCGCGTGAGAAACGGAGCTCGGAAGCTCTCTTGCGCTACGCCACACTAACGCCTTCGTGTTACCTCTGTCTCGAAGCTCTTTTAATTGAATTTAACTACACGTGCTGTAACACTTGCAAACTCGATCTTCCTCTGTACCCTTAATTTCTCTCTCGTCTGGTACAGAGATATATTCTAACGGGACGATTGAAACTCGATAATAATTCAGATTATTCTACCTGGAAATTGGGAATGTTTCAATTATTCCTCGAGCCAAGAAGGTGTAAAAACTTCTTTATCGCTTGATCTACAATTCAAACTCCATGCTTTTGATTTAAAACATCTACTACCTCGAGTAACTTCCTTGTTCATTGGTAAGAGGAGCATGTTAGCCTGTGGAGCGTGGAAGGAAGTCGGGTCGCCGTGGCGAAGGGGCCAGCGGACGCACAGAGGGCAGCAGAGGGCGAGCGTAGACCGGTGGCAGGAAAACGAGCGCAACGGTAGCAGCTTCATCGGCGCTATGCAAATAGGATCCTGATCGTGACGCGGGTAGGCAAACACGCGACGTACAGGTAACAGGCAGGGCGGGTGAGGCCTGAGTGAGTCCTCTCCGTTTCTTCTTCTTCTTCTTCTTCTTTTTGTTCCCTCTTTCCATCGGTATTATGGTAGTGTGCGCCCTCTTTTCACGGGGCCACGACCCATGCCAGAGATGCATGCCACTCGTACCGATGCACATCCACGAACACTTTGCTTTTCTCTTTCTCAACTCTCCTCCTCCTGTACTTCTCTTTAAGAACATCCTTCTCTCTCTCTCTCTTTCTTTATCATTGCCGCGGTAGTAGCCAGCGTCTTTTTCTCTTCGGTCTACACGTTGCATCGTGGAGATATGCTAATGCAGCCGTCCCGATCGTGACACTGCGGCTGCTAAGTGAGAGCTCAAGTCGCAACCTTCTCATCGGCTCCTACGCCGCGTCGCGTCGAGCCTCTTCCTTCTGCTCCCCCATCTCTCCCTTTGCTTCTCTATCGTCTCCTTAACCGTGCTTTCGGGAATCCTATCCTTCGTATTGATACCCCATTGCCAGCCCATTATGACATCTCGAGGACAGTCGAACAGCCCTTCTTTCTTCCAGCTAAAAATCCAATCGCGACTGCTTTGTTCTTCGCCTGCCGACAGGTAGATCGGATGAATTTTCGGCTGAGTTTTGAAATCGACCGACCTATCGAGGAGTGTACAATTTCATAAATTATGGATGTCGTAGGACAGCTCAGAATCGACTGTCTTTCACTCTGGACAACGCGTTAAGAAGCTTCCCGCGTGTCTGATTGGTCGCTGGCAAAACAAGGATCGGCGGACGTGTAACTACACGTTCTACACAATTTACAGGGCACAGTCGAAGAGCGTAGCGTCCGTGTTCCGATTCAATTAAACGCCGATGCAATCGATCAATTCAATTCGTCCCGTTACACTTCACTCTTCAAGATTCAACGGGCATCGCGCAAGCACACACCTCATTAAAACGCAAATCTAACCGATCGATCCGATATCTTCGATCTACCTTTATTCCGGCCTGCTTCGCCTCGCGTCGTTTTCTACGCTGGCTCTCTCTTTCTCTCTCTCGAGGGGGTGGCAGAGGAAGAGGTAAGGATAGAAAGAGAGAGGAAGATGATCTTGTACGGACCGTCCACGTTCGTCCATCCCTTCCAAGAAGTTCAGATCACGTCGTGGAGCACATTATTCATGCAAAGCTCTTACTACGTCTACCTCCGTCTCTATCTGTGTATCAACACGCATGGCTATACGTGGCCGTCATATGTACGTGCATCGACGGCAAACAGACGACACGAATAATTCGTCGGGAATTTCGTGTGACACTTTTCAAGCATCGTTTCGACGAAGAACCGAGAGCTTCGCAGTGGAATTACGGGATCTTAAAATCTCGTGAAATTAAAAAAAATTTTCCTCCCTCAGAGTGAAAAGTGAACTTTTAAATTTGACACATTTTTGTACACTGTTACGAAATAAAAGATTTCAAATACAATTTCATCGATAATCTTTATTCATCCTTAACACTTATAATTTATAGACTTCTCTGTTCGCAATTATCCGGCTATCAAATCACGAGGATATTATAAATAGTATCGTGACTCGCTGGTGACCCGTGTCAGATTGATCGTGTCACGCTGGCTTACATAATCGTTCTCGCGAAACTGAATCGCTCGATCTGATATCATCGTAGAATTTCGGACGGCTAATTAGACGGATGCTTGCGACTACTTTTATTTTATTAACTCGAACTGTATCGTGGTTGGATCAAGGATCAACGCGAAACGAGCGGAGAGGATCGTAGAAGAACGCGTCGCGTGTATGCGAGTCTGCGCGCACAAGGTAGGACAATAATGATAGTAATTATGCTAAAGGGCGACGATAAATCCGAGTTGCCGATATCGTGACGAGATATCGTAACATTTCGACTTTCAGCCATTACCACTTAATTACTCGGTTCCAATCCCGAACGAAATACACGCCAATTACTAGCCGGTTAATATTATTATCCTATTTAGCCGAGTGAATAAAGATAATGACGCTCGTTGTCATTAGTGTTATGAGTTATTAGCTTTTAACAGGGTCGTTTAGCAGGGGACTATTCTGTTATTACCTGTTGAATCAAAACTTGTTTCCTGTTTCTTTTCTTTCTTCGTAATTCATTTCACCTAAAGTATAAATTAGTAGTTTTATTAGGTTTCGAATGATGCACGTTGGGTTAATCGATGTAAAATCGTAAGATCGATGAGTCGGAAGTGATTGGAAGATGCTAAAGTGGAAAGAGGAGGGTCGAGCATGGTGTTCCTTGCGGTTTGCTCGCTCGATTTCTGGTTTTCAGCGGCGCGGCGAGCAGAGGAAAAAAGTAATAAAAATCGTCGGGCAAAGCAGTGAAAACCAAGTCGGTGACAGATGGCGAGTACCGATAACGTCTCTCGAAGGTCCTGCTAGCGAGCGAAACGACCTGCACGGATCCTGTTCCTGTCGCGAGATAAAAGAAGAAACAGCTGCGTCCCGGCGCTGATCGGAGATCGCTCCCCGTACGAGAATGCTTTCGACGTCGGACAATCGTGCGAATATTTATGGGGATCATTTGTTTATTCGCGAACGCGATGGACAATGAACGAAACGGGGATTAAAGGGTGTAAAAAGACTAAAAGCGATACGCGTGTCATCGACTGACGATGAAAAACTTGAGGAAATTGATTCTGAAGCTAATTAATTTTGGAACTTAATAAATAATGAAAAAAAAGAGAAGT